GGCCTCAGTCTAAGCCTTGAATGTCAGCATTTAATGGCTTGAGAGATGAGGATGGGCCTGCAAAGGAGACAAGGATAGAAAAGCTAGGGATAGGAAGAAAGCTGTGAGTGTGTAGCATATTGAAAAGCCAATGGGAAGAGTGTTTCAAGAGGGAGTGTTGTCGAATGCTGCTGTGAGCAGTCAATGAGATGAGGGCTAAAAAACATCCATTGGATTAAGCAACTTGGAGGAACTTGTTTTGGTGGATGGCCAGACAACATTTTGGAGCATTGACACTTCTTTTTCAGAAGTTGAACTGTAAAGGGAAGAGAGGGGCAGGTCAGTAGCTAGAGGGGAATGACTCACATAAAGACTTACTTTTAATGGGCGACATTTGAGTGTCTTTAAAAGTTGAGGTTGAATACAAAGGAGAAAAAGGAGCCTAATAATGTAAGGTTCCTGAGAAGACATGTAAGTCATGTAAGTTCCTTTGAAGCATGGGCTCCAAAGCTGTGGTAGAGGGATTTATCTTAAGTGAGAAGACAGAGAGTCCTCTGTTATTACAAAGTTTAAGAATAGGATGGGTACGGTTGTGGGTGGGTTTGTATGTTTGGAATCAACAAGATGAAGAAAGCCCTCTGAATTATAAAAGAATTCCTTGAGGTAATCTCATTTGTTGGCTTGGGTGTTTTCTTTTGTTTTTTCAGTATCCAATTGGTTATTCATTGTCTCTATTGAAATTTTTGGTTTAGTAGTTATTTGTGTTTCCATGAACCTACTTTAAGATTGCCCTTTTTTTTAAAAAAATGGACAGCCTGCAATTGTTTTATTCATTCAGTGTCATCTCACATCTCAAACTGCTGAAAAGTTTTGTTCATGTGCTTATTTGTCCTTACCATAGTTAATTTGGAGACGGCTGCCTTGGATTACAGAATATAATTTATGATTACTATGCCTGATAGCTTGTGAAGTAAAAAGTAGTTTTTGTACCCTGAATTATCCTTTGCCAGAGATTTGGCTATACTGAAATATTTCTTCACTGAACCCCAGCTATGCAATATGTTACTTAATATTCTTTTGTTCATTAAATGTTCCAGAGTCGGTTAAACACTCGTCCTCATCTTGGATAAAGTCTGTTCATATATAAGCATTAGTGGGCAACGTAGAATATACTAAAGATTTGGTAATAGTAGAGAATTTACTTCCCACACCCCACTGCAGTAACTTGACTGTTGCCATGCTACACACTGCTGCCTATGCTGCCAGCTAGTGTTCCATGTATTCCCTCTTCTCCCAAGAAGCTTCTCTTGCTACATAGTTTTTTTCCTCTGGATTCTCCCCAACCTTTAGATTTCTTATTTTTTAATGCAGATCCACTCTAGATTTTCCTCCCTAATTTGTATAGCCAAAACTATTTCAGTGTTCATCAAACAAAGGTCTTCCAGTTATCAGCATCTCCCCTCCTTCAGATGCCTGTTTCGCACTGATCACTTGTTATGTGAGTATATCTTTTGATCCTTACCCCCTACTTTACATGTCTGATCAAAGTAGTGTTTCTCAGAAAAAGTAGGGCTTGTCCTAAAAAGAATTCTGTCGGTTGCTAAGAGAATATAATTTTCTCCACGTTGTTTACATATGTCCATTTCGTTCTCTGTTTATGGAGCCTGGAGGGGTTCTGTATTAGACTGTGTATCCATAGGTAACAGGAAAAAACCTTATAGGGTTTTATTCTTAAATTTTTTACTGAAGGACTCTGCCCAAATTGTAGGTTGAATAACTCTTGTTGTTTTGGGGCTAATAGATTCCTTAGGGATCTTAACAGTGGCATGTATAGAGCTTTTTTAAAATTTGGGGTAATTGTGAGTAGATTAAACCAAATGACCAGGTTCAAGACTGTTTGCTATGGTTATGAGATCAGTTTTGCTTAATAAAAGGCAGTGGCTGAACTTTAATGAATGACTTCCTCACCCAGCCTTAGAATTTTTCAGTTTAGGAGTTAGTTTGGTTTTAAAAGACAAAAAATGTTCACCAGATTTTCTCATTATATCAAAGATGAATTCAGTCTTATGATTGTCAGAGTATTTTGTTTTGAAAGGTTCAGTCACTGATAATGTTATCATTGTAATGAGACCCAGCATGTGTTCAGAGTAGATTTAAGACAGGTGAGAACTAGATTCTTTCAGAAACTAACTTAAACTTTAATGGGCAAATTGAATCCCTTTGGGGTCTACTATTTGTAGATATATGCCAATTTAATAATTTGACTAAGTAAAATACTGTTTGGTAGTCCACTTAGAGAAGATGACTATGAAACCAGTATTTGTAAGTTAACAATTTCTGGTAAGTATTATATCTACATAAGTATCTGCTGTATTTATGTAGCTGTAGTTGACTGCTTCACCTGGATTCTACAAATTATTCAGAATCCCAGGAGGTAAGATTTCTGAATTGCCTATTTTCACTATGTGAAAGTCCAACCACAAAATTATTAATTTGCCCTTGACTATATTTTTAAATTTGCTGTGGAGCTGAACCTAAAATTTTATCAGATAGTTGACTTGGTTTGTTACATTTCTAGTATAAATTTTGAAAAGTTTTGGTTTTGTTTTTAGAAAGTGTACTCTGTTTATCTTCAAATAGTTATTTATTTGGTAGTTTCGTAGGTATGTCTGGAAAATAACTACCAGACGTTTCTATAAAAGAGAGAGTAAGGTCCCTGTTAGATAGTATCAGAAGCTAGATGTAGCTGTGTATATAAGAATGTTGTAATAATAGTTTCCATTTGCTGAGTGCCTCATTTTTGCCAGACTCTGTGGCTACTTTGCAGCCATTACCTCATTTAAACCTTGCAGCAACGTTCAGAGGTAAGTCGTAATGTGCCCATTGTACAGATGAGGAATGCTAGATTAGTAGGTAACAAGCATCTTAACTATATAATACCTCCCTCCTCCCCTTTACCCCAGCTAAAGGAATTGAGGTACAGAGATGAGACAACTTGCTGTTGACCTTCAGCAGATGGCTTTACCTCACCATGGCTCAATCATCCTCTGCCTACCTATCTAGGCATTCCATCTAATCTTTTCCACAGATACACAGATGCCTAGGTTCCAACCCTACCTGGAAATTCTCATTTGTTAATCTTAATTTTCCAAAAGGTCCACAGATAATTGTATTGTACCTCAGTGATTGAAACCATTCCCTTACTGATAAATGGTGCTTTCCAGTCAGGCAGGCTTAAGTTAGAGTACTGATTCCTCTAAATTTATCAGCTGAGTGACCTTGGCCACATTCTTTAGTCTTGCTAAGGCTCTTCATCTATAAATTGGAGATAATACTGTTAACCACTTTAGAGGGTTGTTGAGGAGAACGAATGAGGTAATGTTTGTAAAACACTTATCAGGGTAATTTAGAATTCTTCTTAAAAATTGTCTGCTATTAAGGTGTCATCATGTTATCTTTGTGGAGTCAAAACACTCACCCTTGCCATAATCTGTATCACCTTGGTGTCAGAAAGCTGATACCACCATAAGGAATGAATGATGGCTAGTTTTCATTATTTACCTCCCATTAGTGGAATTGTAAGAGGGGGCAAAGGAGTAGGCAGGAGATTGTTTTGTTATACTAATCAACCAGACTTCTCTGCCTGTGTACTAGTAGGAAAAAGAAGAGGAGAAGGTTGCTGGGAATCTGCCTCCTTCCTAAGGGATTTTTCTTCTTCCCCTTTCTCTCCCAACTTCTTCTTAGAGCTTTATGTCACTAGCATCATCAATCCTTAATCTCATAACTGCATCCTGATTTACCTAGGTACTTTTTCACACCCTTACCTTCTACTTCTCCCCTTCACCTCCATTCACTCTCATCCTGTCCTTTCAAATTGCTTTTAGTTCACTTGTGACTCATTTGGTGACTTGGACCCATGTCTCCACTTTCTTAGGCCATTACTCAAGTAAAGGCCAACCTAAATCCTGACCAACTGTCTCCTTGCCTTCTGTGGGCCCACTCCAGACCAGGGGTTTTAGCTTTTGACTGTTGGGAAAGAATTATATTAGCTAAGCTTTCAGGCTTGTCCACAGGGCTGTGCCTCAACCCTTTGATCTCCTTTACTATTTATACCTAATGGTCATAGAGTGCAATAATAAGGATACATGTTATTACCACTAGATTAATAGAATACTAGTAGATTAGAGTAGGTTAATTCTGTTATGTTTATATACAATAAGCTTTATTATATGTATGTATAATTGCTTTGCAACTTGAAAATTGAGGCTGGACCACTTAACAGTAGTTTAATAACTTACCGACTTTGTCCAAGACTGAAAAACCTATGGAAAAGGTAGAATTGGAGCTAGACTTTAAAGGATGGGTATACTTTTTTCTGTAAGCAGGGAGGAGAGGCAGGGGATTTCATTTAAGGGGACAGACATAAGCAGAGTCTTAAAGGAAGGAGCATGCAAATTTGGACCATTGTGAGTAGATCATTTTTAACTTTTTCAGAGGGTTCATGTAGTAAGGATAAAACTAGATAATTCAGAATCAAACTTTGGAAAATTCTCAGTGTTCAACTAAGATGTTTGAATTAGTAGGCTTTTGGTATGTCCTGTGAATTCATTTGGCTTTCCTTGAATAATGTACACATACAGCTTAGTTGTGAGATTCCATAAGAGATTCACATGTTCACTGCATCCTAACACTTGGCCTGGTTCATGTAAACTGATGGCCACTGCCGAGTCTCCTTTCTACAAGTGGTTGTGCCTTGGGGAGTGTCAGATCAGCTGCCTTCATCCTGATGCTTTAGTTCACTGCCTGCTGTCCATTCTGAGCTGTGCCTGATCAGCCTTTCCCCTAATTTTTCCTTGTTAATCTCCAGATTCTAAGTCAGTGATACGATAAATGCTTATCACAAGAGTTGTGAATTCTTATTTAAAGCTTTCTTTGTATCTCCTTCACTCTTAAAAATGTTGTTTGATATGAATTTTGTTTATAAGATAGTTATTAACTTTCCTGTTTCTCTTCCTTTGCAGACCTAGAGGATCAAGACATAATGGGAGCATTTTTAGACAAGCCAAAGATGGAAAAACATAATGCCCAGGGGCAGGGTAATGGGTTGCGATATGGGCTAAGCAGCATGCAAGGCTGGCGAGTTGAGATGGAGGATGCACATACGGCCGTGATCGGTTTGCCAAGTGGACTTGAAACATGGTCTTTCTTTGCTGTGTATGATGGGCATGCTGGTTCTCAGGTTGCCAAATACTGCTGTGAGCATTTGTTAGATCACATCACCAATAACCAGGATTTTAAAGGGTCTGCAGGAGCACCTTCTGTGGAAAATGTAAAGAATGGAATCAGAACAGGTTTTCTGGAGATTGATGAACATATGAGAGTTATGTCAGAGAAGAAACATGGTGCAGATAGAAGTGGGTCAACAGCTGTGGGTGTGTTAATTTCTCCTCAACATACTTATTTCATTAACTGTGGAGACTCGAGAGGTTTGCTTTGTAGGAACAGGAAAGTTCACTTCTTCACACAAGATCACAAACCAAGTAATCCGCTGGAAAAAGAACGAATTCAGAATGCAGGTGGTTCTGTAATGATTCAGCGTGTGAATGGCTCTCTGGCTGTATCGAGGGCCCTTGGGGACTTTGATTACAAGTGTGTCCATGGAAAAGGTCCTACAGAGCAGCTTGTCTCACCAGAGCCTGAAGTCCATGATATTGAAAGATCTGAAGAAGATGACCAGTTTATTATCCTTGCATGTGATGGTATTTGGGATGTTATGGGAAATGAAGAGCTCTGTGATTTTGTAAGATCCAGACTTGAAGTCACTGATGACCTTGAGAAAGTTTGCAATGAAGTAGTCGACACCTGTTTGTATAAGGTAGCTAGACTTTTCTTTTAAAAGATAAAATGATTTTGTGCCATCTTAATTACTGCTGTGGTATTTAATCATCTTAGAACCTGTAGTTCTCAGAAATAAGTTTTTGACACAATTGCAAGATACTCTTCACACTGATAAAAATACTGAAGAGTTTTTAGAAATAAATAACCCAATTACAAAGTATGCAAGAGTCATATAATCTGAACGTTTAGTCTTAAGTAACCATGACTACTTGAGCCTTTTAAGATTGTGGAAGATTATCAAAGGTAAAAGGATTATATCAAAGTGTAGGTTTTAAAAGAAAGGGGACGGAGAAGGTTAAGTCTCAGTGTCCATAAATGAAAAGCATTTTAGAATTTTAACAATTTATTTTTACCATGTGATATCTCCGTACATTTATGGAAGTACTTTGAGACTATGGTCTAATGAATCTGTAGCACCAAGAAAGAGAATTGAGTGATTTGGTGTGATGTAATGGAAATAGCCGTGAACATGGGAGTCAGAAGAACTTGGTATGAGACTGTATATGACTTCAGGTAAGCTATTTAAACTGTCTGGAAGATCAGTTTCTCTAATTATAAAAAAGGTAAGAGAGATTATTACCCTTTTTCATGGGGTTGTTGGGTTGATCAAATGGGATTGTGTACATAGATGAGCCAGCTCAGCTCCTTTATTTTGCAGATGAGGAAGCTGAAGTCAGAGAAGGCTCTGCTAACTTGTTAGACCTGGAAACAAGGCTTATCTCTATTACTTTTGTACTCTACAGTTTTGAATAAATTGTTCAACGTCCCTCAGCTATTAAGTGGAGATAATAATATGTAACTAGTAAGACTGTTGAGGAGTTAAATTAACGAGCTAATGTATATATATATGAATTGCCTAGTTTAGCAAATAATATGTACTTGATACATGCTGCCCCCTTTCCTAGAGAAGTTAGAAGTGACTTCTACAGGGTTATATACAATTTACTTCTTTAGTAATGGTACCAAGACCAAAATCTAAGCCCTTGGCTTAGGTTCAGTGTTCTTTCTGCTACATTGTTCTATTTGTCAGTAATGCTCCTTAACTAATTTTTTTATTTTGACTTTTTTTTAAATATACTGACTTTATAAAACTCTGCTGAGGCTATATATTTGATTTTCTTTTAACATGCGCCGATAGAAAGTCAACATAATAGTCTTTGTAGTTTTATATGCACACTGCCAGCTTTACTTAAAATCTTAATTAAAATCTGATCATACTTAGAAATCAGGTTTATGTGATATCCAACACAAATCAAGTTTATGTAATATCCAACATATGTTAAAAAAATCAATAGAGCAACAACTTAATAGTGCACACTGTTAATTTCCGAATTTGGGAAGAACTGAACAGTGATGCATGTGTTCTTTGTCCTTTTCAGTATGTATACAAGTAACATCTATTTTGTTGGGTTTATTCTGTAGCACTTAAGAATTAAATAGTTGTTAGCTAAGTTAAAAGCTGTTTTCTTGAGAAAATTGCCAGATTCAGATATTAGTAAATTATGACTCAGATTCCACTTTTTCTTTTCTGCATTCTACGCTATTTTAAAAATTATTCAGTAGCTTATCATTTGCCACATTTTATACAAATCCAAGATTTTTTTTAATATTAAATTCTTTGTATTGTTTGCTTAAACTAATGGTATAAGGTCAGTTTTCTCATATAGTGGAATTAAATCCTTAAAATGTGAGGATTTTTTTAAAATGTAAAAGTTAACTCTAGTTAGTAATAGGAAGGAAAGTGTGGGGAGACCAATATCAACTCAGGTATTTTAATTATAGCATTTTGAATACCTAGTTGTCTTTAAAAATGAATGTACTTTATAAAAAGTTGTCATTTTTTTAATTATGAAAGTTAAAAGCTGGCTTATAAACTTTATATATGTAGTTTTACTTCTAATTCCGTATCTTTATTTATTTTGAAGCAAATTAATTAGCCCAACAATTTATTATAATTTATTTTAAATGTAAGTTTGTCAAGTACATGTAACTACAGGTCAAATCCTCTTGTAGGGAACACCACTAGAATTGTCCATTTTGTTGAATGATGTGTGTTAGGTATCACTTCAAGTGAAGTAGGCCACCAAAAGATGTTCAGAAATATTTTTGTTTTATAGAATTTTTCAGAATGATTGTTGCAGTGAGTTTAACCTGTAGTGTTTCTCTCCTGTCTTTTTGAGTGTTGATTATACTGTATACTATATTGTATACTATATTTGTATGGGGGGTACCTCCTCCACATATGTGTATATATTTTTTTCTCCTTAAAAACAATATATATTTTCAACTAGAATAAATATAATTGGCGTGGCTGTAAAGGTTCTCAAGGCTTTGAAGAGCAAAAAGAAAACCATATTATTTTCTCAAACTTTTATCTTCCCAGGGAAGTCGAGACAACATGAGTGTGATATTGATCTGTTTTCCAAATGCACCCAAAGTATCACCAGAAGCAGTGAAGAAGGAGGCAGAGCTGGACAAGTACCTGGAAAGCAGAGTAGAAGGTGGATCATTTAACAAAAAATAAGTAGCTTTATTAAAGAAAAACCTCAACACAATCAAACTTTAACATTTTAGCTTTTAGAGCTTTATAAGCTTTTGACATCTAGTGTTTAGTGTACAAAAATGAGAAAGGGCATTTCTGTAGTAGCTGTTACAATGTTTGCAATTGTCCTATCACGGTTATATTAGAAATAACTAGTGTGGCCCTGTACATTCTGTTCAGCATACTTTTGTTTAAAAAGGCTGAAGTGTTTATATGCTTTAAAATTCATGATGAGTTCACTGGCATGAATAATTTTATGCCAGGAAAGTCTGATTTGTGGTTTATTTGATTATAAACAGATTATTTATGATGGTGATAATATGAATACCATCTTTCTCTGTAAAGCTGTGTGTATGAATTTAAGATTTTTAGGATTTTTTTCAATAAGCTGAAGATCACAGCCTGGTTATTAACAACCTCTGTGTGCCACAGCTTTTAAAAATTTATTTTAATCTGTTTCACAGCTTTTTGCCTAAACCGTAAACTGCCTCACCTCGACAACATAGAACCAAATATAGAAATGCTAGGTCTCTACATGGCAGAAATGTAAATGCTGAATAAAGTCAAGAAATAAGTTTGGAATTCCAGGAGTATATTTGTCATAATTCTGCAAATTACTTTGAGATAGTTAGAAGGATATTTGTAACTCTCAAATGTAATGCCTTTAAATATTTGAAAAAATTTAAATGATCTTTGCAGCTACTACTTGGTATAAATATTCAGAGAATTCCAGTGTAATGCATATATGCAGTAAGTATGTAGATTATGCAGTTTCTTTATGCAGAAAAATTTGACATGCCTATAATAGTGTTAAAATGCATTTTGGGCCCCTAATGTCATTAATTTGCACGTTAAAGACCTTTAATAGCATGTAAGCATTGACCTACATACTATTATTTCCTGCTGTGCCTGCATTATTAAAATTAATGTGCACTTTAATTTTGTTTTCTCCCTTTTTACAGTTTTATATCAATTATAATCAGACTCCTATTAGGATTATAATGGTTTTGATTTTCAGTACTATCTAGAGCTGCTACTTTGTTTTTGTTGCTCTCTCCCACTTGAGAGTGATATGTCTAGTTATGTGTATGTGCTATTTAGTATTTCTTTCATTGGACACACTATTCATGAGTTGATTCCTAACTATTACCAAGGGTCTTGGAATTTTTATATTTTAAATGAATCATTTCAATATAAGTTGTTTATACATAATACAGTAAAAGAAAATATTTAGAATGCTGCCAAGTCATATCACATTGGTTCAAACTGCTGGTTAGTGGAAAAATATGAAATCGTAAGAAGACTATGTATTGGGATAAGCTGATATTTAATTTACCAGCACTTTAAAGTAACTTGGTTGTAATGTTTTCTTATTGATTTAAAGAAATACAAATAAGTACTTGAGTTTTATTTACTATGAAATGGGATCAAATTTTAGAAATGAGTTACGACTTTTCTCTTTAGTGTATGCTCTTTAAATTTTTGATGCAATTTTAAATAATTGCTTTAGATACATAATTTTATGTTACAATATTGTTTTATATTGTTTATTATCAAGCAAGAATTGCCACCTGAACAGAATTTACATTAATAGCATTTCTGATATGTTGAAATGTTGTTATACTTGTACCATTCAACTGGAGATTATGATGTCATAAATTAAATACAATATTCATTACTGAGGTGGATTTGATGAGACTGCAACTAGAGATTAAATATTACATTAATTAAAACAGCTGCTATATTTAAAAACAGAAAAAAATGTAACTATTTGTATTGTGAAAGTTGTTATATGTCTCAAGTGAAAAATACTGCGTTCAGATTCCAAAACAGGCACCAAGTACCTTTCTTTCTTTCTTTCTTTAAATACGTGCCTTCACTAAATTGCTGTGACCTACTAAACCTCATTTTATTTCTTTTGAATACTTTTGGCTTCTCTGTCCACATGACAGAAAAGAACAAAGGCTCTTCAGCTCTCCTTCTATTATCTGTGCCCGTCTGAATACTTGACTCTCTACGGTTGTGAAAGGATTCAGCTCATAATTTAAACCATACTGCTTAAAGTTGTGGTCCTTCTAAGCCATTTTAAGGTTATACTTGTGCGTATATATTTTTAAAATCTTTGCTACCGACTGCCCAAGATTTAAATTTGCTAATTTGGAGATATCTGATAGAATCCTTCAGACTTTGTGGAGGGCAGGGGAGAAGAGCAGAATGTGTTTATTTGTATATGAGTATGTGAAACATAGATCTTCTATACATATATATTCTTTAATAAAAGCATTCAATCTTTTTGCCATTCTAATTAAAATGTATAGTCCAAGAACAATTAAAGGAATATTTCTTAAAATTCATTACTTTTTTCTTTTTTAAAAGCAAAAGAAGCAAGGCCAGTGTAGTACTAATGGTCAGATAGTTTAAATGTATTGTCCCATGTGGAATAGGAGACTTTAACTGTTTTTAAAGCCTTACGTTATTTTTTTAAAAGAATTTGTCTTCCTGTAATTTTCTTCACAATTAAAATATCCTAATTTATATTTTAACAAAGGAGATGTAAGCTACATCAGATATAGATGATTCAAGGTAATGTTTTTTAGACTTGAAACTATCATTGATTGAATTATCATCAGTGTTTATTTCTATTGTGTCTAGTTATTTATCCAGTAATTGTATTGGCTTAGCAGAGACTGTATGTTAAGTGTATTATAGCTTTAGATTGTGAAATTGTGCAGTTTAGGTAAACATCAAATCCCTTTATTTTTGTACAGCAGATTTCCAGCATTAGAACCATGTAGAATAAATATATTAGATGTTAAAGATTACACAATAAAGGAACTTGGCAAACCAAATCTGAGATCCTTGGTTTTTGTTCAGATTTAAGACTGTTTTTTTTTTTTTTAAGGCAAAAAATAATAGATGGTAAAATTTGGCCTGATTCTAAAGGGACAGTTTGAGTCATTTAAAGAAATATGGGTAGTAATGTCTGTGAATATGCGGCTTTAATGATGAATTAATATTTTGAGAGTTGATCAAAGGATAAAAAAGCTTTATATGCATTGTTATTCTCAAAGGTATTTACAAATTGAGAACTAGAATGATACTTTTCTTGCCCCAATGATGAGAAAGAAAATTTCTTAGTATAAACATTGAAAAACAAAAAATTCAACATAACTTGAATGTATAACTTACAAATACCTTTGGCATGATCTTGCATTTAGAATAAATAAGGTAAACTCCAAGTGAAGACTTCCTATACTTAGAGTGAAAAGTTTGAGAGTTCTTCTAAGTTGTTTGTACATAATTATTGGTATTCTTTGGTGTGAGTAACTGTGCATTTGCATGGCAACACTGCAGAGGTTATTATATCCATTTAATAACTAGATGTTTTCAAATTAATGATTTTAAATGCAGTTGTATAGTTTGTCGTATTTTTTATTTTTAAAAAATTGGCCATAAAATTTATACATTTTTCCATTCTATAGGCTTTGATGTTCAAATAACTGAGAAAATGATATATCTATTTATTGCTTAAAGATACCTTAGATAAAAATTAAGCTGAGATAGTGATATTCAAGTACATAGTCTCATCTGCACCTGCTGCTTAAGTATCATTTTGCAAATGTAAACATGTAAAAACGATTTGGATTAGTATATAATCAATAAATTCCCCTATACTTAAAGATTTTTTTTGTTTTTTCCAAATCTTGAAATATGTGCAGTGTGTTTTCAGGGCAAAGTTCAGGAAACATGATTCCAGTCTAAAGAGAGGAGTTGCTCTCCTCAGAAGTAACTCGTTGGCCTCTTAAGAATATTCTCATTTGTACACAGATATCCCTGATTGTGTAATACATTGATTGTAACATGAAATTTTTTTTCACAATTTTATCTTGTTATATTCATTCTTTGAAGTTAATCTGGAAAGTATCTCATCTTTTGTGCATTTCTTTGTCATAAATTTTCATATGTCAACTTGATTTTTTTTTATACCAGTTTAGAAAATCTCAGATGTGGTAAATGTCATCTTTAAAAACCTAAGTTATCTTTGTTTCAGTTTTTTTTTTTAACTAAATTTGGATAACACTTACAAAAAAAGTACTTCTGATTCCCAGAAATCATAAAGAAGCAGGGGGAAGGCGTCCCTGACTTAGTCCATGTGATGCGCACATTAGCGAGTGAGAACATCCCCAGCCTCCCACCAGGGGGTGAATTGGCAAGCAAGTAAGTTATGTTCTGCAGACCCTTATGATTTATCTCAGTACCTGAAAATGTTAGGTGTCCGTTGATCAAACTGTATCTTCAAAGAAATGTTTAAGCTATGTTTCAGTGTTTTTCAGTATTAATGATGTGTGGTGCTTGTTTAGAATACGTATCAGAATGTTGTTTGTAACTAATTATACTGAAGACTGTCTGTAGTGAGGCTTGGGTTACATTGATTTCCTCATATAGCATAAATGAGATAATATAATGAAAGAATATTTTTAACTAAATTACATAGCACTACAAAATTCTAAGTGTCATTATTATTCCTGTATTATAATTTGATCTTGTCAATACCTGGATAACTTAACACCCCAGGGATAAGCATCTTTCTCTTCCTCCATCTAGACCATTTTTCTACGTCTCTGATTTTCCCAGTGTTTTTGGTTGTTTGCTGGTTGGTTGGGTTTTAGTGTGATGAAAGATAGGAGGGTGCATTTCTTGCCTTTTTCTCTTTGCACTTTAGTGCATAGAACTGGACTAATGTATGTTAAATATTAAGCTTACATCTTTATAAACTACAGTAGAGACTTTAAGTAACTTTATAATACAAGGCTTAAAACATTGTTACCTCAGATATCCATATATTTGACCTACAAAGATAGATTGACTAATTTCCTTGATTCTTCATTGTGTTCTCTAAGTGTAGCCATATTCTTTGTAATGATTTCACTAAAAACTAATTCCTAGACTTGTCAGGAAAGTGTCATATTTGACATTTCATTTTTAATAGAGCCTTTTTAAAGGGGCATTATGAAAAGCAGAAATTTAAATGTAAAATGTATCTAAATCATTTACTACAAGAAGTAACTACAAGTTACTTCTACTTCAAAACTAACATTCAGCTCTTAACCAGAATATATTAGTATTATATCTTAAGAACTGCATCGTCATTGCTGACTTCTAACCACTTAAGCCTGTTCAAACAGAAGTAGACCGTATAGGCTGATTTCTTTTTTACACTATGACTTTGAGCCTTCTATTAATTGGGTTAGTGGAATGTTATATTTTAGAGTAAATTCACCGCTATTTTAACAGTGAGACCCAAATATCTTGAAGTGAGGCTCACTTATTGGACAGTAAGACATAGAATTAAAATAATTTCTAAGTGTAAGATTGTCTTTGACATTTTAATGAACACCTGGCTATGATTATTAAACAGTTTTATGCTCTGAAGGAGAATTAACTTTCTGCATTTCTTTTAAATTTAGGCGGAATGTAATTGAAGCCGTTTACAATAGACTGAATCCTTACAAAAATGATGACACTGTAAGTAGCATTTTAGCTCACTCTGCTTTCCCTACCCCTCACTCTAAATGCATATCCTTCCTGCCTGTTTTTGCAGAGCTGTTCACTGCACCCATTCTCTTACACACACCCTGACTGATTGCTCTGAACTCTGCCTGCACCACAGTTCTAGTGATTGAGGACATAATCATGGTGAGTGGCCACCTCTCTCAAAAAAGAAGAAAGTCCCTTTGAATTATTCTGGGTTTTTTAAGCCTCTACAAGCAATCAACTTGAGAAGGTTTGCTTCCACTAAATGTTTTTTTGAAATTAGGAATAATATCTCTACTCAGAATCTTGAATTATTCTGAGTTTTATAAGCAGCTGCAACAGAACTTCAGAATGCCCATCTCCACTAAATAGTTTTTATGGTTAGAAATACCTTTGCCAAGAACTCTGAAGTATGTACTTCATTTAAATATTAAAGTAGAGAATTCTGTTTATAAATAGACATTAGAATGCCATGTTCTCCAGTTAAGTTTCCCATTACAATTCCACTGTAGTGTGGTATTTACAGAGAAGTGGTAACTTAAAAGTATTTGGGCACAGCTCTGAGATATTTCATATATTGCGTTATGAACCTTCATCAAACCTCCTATTACTTGAGGTCTTAATCTCTTCTTATGCAAGAAAAGTTTATAAAAGTAGTGGTCTAAAAATAAATTGGCTTTTATTGAAAAAAATTCTTTTTAGTAGTGCTATTGGTTTAGAAATACATTTGGTCAACCTCATGGTAAAGTCATAATTCACATATTTTATTTCAAAAGAAAACAAAGGGTTAACAATTCTTTGAACAGATAAAATATTGATATTTCATATACACACAGACTCATACTTAGATTCTTTGAAAAACACTTATATTCTACAAGTCAACTTTACAAAACCTTATCTTTCTGCATTATCCAGAAAGTAATGTATTTTGGCGCCTCTGAGCTTCAGTTTCTTGTTTTGCTTTGTTTCCTTTCATAAAGGACTCTGCATCAACTGATGATATGTGGTAAAAGCGCTCCTCCAGCCGTGGGGTTTATCTTCCGCTCCAAAGGAGAGTACAGCTCCTCTTCGTTGGACCTTTTAAACATGCATCTTCGACTTTAAAGAAGGGCGTGTGACGTGGGTGAAAGTGACTCCACCAGAGAACTGCAGCAGGACAACAGCTAGCCCAGAACTGATTTTTTTTTTGTAAATTTGAGACTTACGTAAACGTGATTTCAAACCATAATTCATGTTGTAAATCAGACTCCAGCAATTTTTGTTGTATGATTTTGTTTTTTGTAAAGTGTAATTGTCCTTGTACAAACTGCTCATATTTAATTATGAACTGCTTTAAATCACTATCAAAGTTACAAGAAATGTTTGGCTTGTTGTGCGATGCAACAGATATATAGCCCTTTCAAGTCCTGTCGTGTTTGGACTTGGGGTTGGGACAGGGAGAGCAGCAGCCATGTCAGCTAGATGCTCAAACGTGCACGTGATTATGGAGAATAATTCCAAAATCCGACAAAGCTGGACATCCAAGGAATTGGTTGAAAACTGTCTTAATGTTCTTGGCGGTGGGATTGGCATTGTTGATAAAGCTGGTCCCTCATTTAACTGTCTTTTAGGTTGTTCTTGTTGCCATGAGTATTGCAGGTAATACAGTATATTCATAAGAATATCAATCTTGGGGCTAAAATGCCTTGATTCTTTGCACCTCTTTTACAAGTCCTTACATTTAATTACCAATTGGTAAGCAGCAGCTTCCTACATACAGTAGGAGACTGCCACATTTTTGCTATCATGATTGGCTGGGTCTGCTGCTGTTCCTAGTAAGATATTCTGAATTCCATTTTATCAATAAAGCTTGATTTAACAAACAAGAAATTTAATCACGTATGTGTAATTCCTCCTTTACCCCGCCCTTTTAAAACACCATGCTGTTGTAAATGAAAAGTTTCTCATGGGGAAAGATGTTAGTCTCTTTTAATTGGAAAATACTGTTACTCAAGGCATAGATGAAACTATTTCCCTTCCATTAGAAAGGCTAAAAGATGTGTCTCTGTTGTTCCTTAATCTGTTTTTTAAATGGGTTTCTTTCTGGCTGCTTATTTTTCTTTAAGATGTGTATCAGCTTGAATTTGCCTACTGTTTAATTAAATAATTGTCAGAGCTTGACAATCTAACACTCTGGTGGGTGTGTGTGTGTGTGTCTGTGAGTGTGTGTTTGCCTGTGATTTTTAATTGGCCTGTCTTTAGAATCTAAGCAGTTAAGATGTATTTGTGATTTGAAATATGGCATGTTGATAATATTTAGCTGTTGGCCTTTAAAAATAACTTTCAAAGCTTAAAGAATTGTAGATATAAAAATAACCTAATTTAACTTAGGCTTAAATCCCTCTGATTAAGCATGTGAAAGTAAGTTTTAAAATCTGTCACATTGAAAAGACTACTGTTCTGTGCCCTTCTGTATTTTTGTCTCTTTAGGTTGAATATTGTATTTATCACCATGTAATTAGTCATTCAGTAGGCAGATTCCCCTCTAGAAAACTACTAAAATATAAGATTAAAATACAGTATTGAATACAAAGTCAAAACTTTGTGTATAAAAAGTAGTATGATCAGTTTTGTTCCATTCTTTTTTTCCCCCTAAATTGGAAATATACATGTTTGTACATATAGCCTTAAAACTAATGCAAAGTTAAAGGAGTACAGTAGGGGGAAAAGTAATGTGAAACGTCTCAGATTTAAGTAATTACATACCAGCAAAATCTTTTCATTATCCCTCTTATTTGTGAGGTAATTAAATGTAACATAATTGTACTTAATTTATATCTTAATCCAGCATGAATAAAGAAAAACAAGTACTATTTATATTTAGAAATTCATAACAGTGGGAATTACAGAACCAATTCCGTACTTACAAATAAATGCTTAATGTCTCAATCTGTGGTAGAGTGCAAAGTATGATAATGTTCTAAGTTATGCCTTTGCAAGCATCTAAATGTGCATTTAATGATGACTGTGCTTCTAGTGTAGATTAATTACCAGACATACTAGTACTGAAAACTAAATCCCTATTACAAGAAGCAAGGTCCTTAATTTTTTAAGTAGACTGAAATTTTTAGTTCTGGAAATTTCAAAACCTTAAATTGGATTTTGAAATGCAAAATCTTAAATCACAAGTAAAATATGTGATGGAAAGCTATATTTCAAACCATAACAGCATAGTTAGAGCCTTTTTTATTTGAGAGTCTTTAAATAAAAAAGAGGAGGTTAAAATATTCCTCTGTTAAAATTATTAGTACTGAGATCAGGCCTGGAGGTGTGTGATCTAACAACACTACATCTTTTCCACGTGAGTCAGCATTGCCATACGAGATAGAATTTTTCATTATGAAAAGACAGGAAGGAAGTGTACATTCTAACAGCAGACTGTGTGTTCTTGATTCCTGGGGGCAATGGTGATGGTGAGGAACCAACTACACTTTAAACGGCACGTTTGCACCTCTGTTGTTGACTTCATTTTTTGTACCACTTAAATTCTTGGCCTCCCACCCCGTTTGGTGTGCTAATTAGCATCTCAGGGCAATGCCTCAAAACTTTTCGATGTATTATACGTTATTTTCTTTGGAGAAAAAAGTTCTTGTGTGACAATAATATACTATTCAAAATGTACTTTCATTTAAATGTTTTAATAGGCTGAACCCAGTTTGCTGCTTTTAATAGGAAGTTCATTTTGTATAGCAGACTCTTGTTACCCTAACATTAAAAAATTTCACTTACCTCTTACTGTTCTAGCAAGGTAAGTTCTCTTAATTTCCACTTTCTTAGGGAATATTTTTACATATAACAGAAGGAGTTCTAAATATGATAATTATCTTTAAATTTTCTTAATCTGCTTTAGAACTATTTCACACATTTTTAATTATAATGCATTAACTTGCTTTTAGAGTACTATGCAATTAGTGTACTGCTCCAGCCATTTAATTTTTTTTTACTGACTATATAACATTAAGAAATTTGTATTAAAGAATGAAGCAATTATGTAATTCAAATAATCTGAGTTATAGCAGTACTTTTAGTGATCATTCATTTGACCATATATTAATCCAGCTAATAACTCACCTTTTCCACAAATTGTATTGAGTGTTATCTGCAAACACTGTTTTAGGCTAAGAATAGGTCTTTGCCCTCAAGGAGTTTACATTTGAGTAGAATTTATAGCCTAGGGGCCGGCCCCGTGGCCAAGAGGTTAAGTTCCTGCGCTCCACTTTGGCGGCCCAGGGTTTCGCCAGTTCGAGTCCTGGGTGCAGACGTGGCATCGCTCATCAGGCCATGCTGGGGCAGCATCCCACATGCCACGGCTGGAGGGACCCACAACTGAAAATACACAGCTGTGTACTCGGGGGCTTTGGGGAGAAAGAGGAAAAATAAAATCTTTAAAAGAAAAAAGAATTTATAATCTAATGTATGTAAATATTAGAACTGGAGCACTCATTCAAGAAAAGAGGGGTGTTTTTTTCCTTAGAGAACTTTTTTCCCCCAGGGGAAGATTTGCCCTTGGCTATCATCTGTTGCCAATCTTCCTCCTTTTTTCTTCCCTTGTATTCCCCAACCCCAAAGTTCCAGTACACAGTTGTGTAAAGTTGTAAATTCTTCTAGTTCTACATGAGCCACCGCCACAGCATGGCAACTGACAGACAAGTGGTGTGGTTCTGTGCCTGGGAACTGAACCTGGGCTGCCAAAGCGGAGAGCACTGAACTTTAACCACTAGGCCATCAGGGCTAGCTCCAAAAAGATAGTTATTCCTCACCTGCTGTCTGCCAGCTACTTTCCTGAACAAGGCAGGTCTCTGCCCTAAAGCACTCATTTGTACTTCCTTTATTCACTGGGAAACTCTTTTCTTCTGTATATTTTCTCTTCCCCGAAGTTAAAATCTCATTTAAAAGAAAACTTTGCTCAGCATAGAAATGAAATTGGACTGACGAGGCTCAAGTCTATGCTTGACTGCCTTTAATGAATGGCCTTTACTCTTCCTCCTGACAGCAGCAAGTTTGGAGAAATGGGGAATGGATGTCTTAGAGTCCTCCAACCCTGGAAATACTGGTGGAGTTTGAGTTTAAGGCAGTTTGAAAAATATATATCTCTAGCTAAATTTTTCTTAAGTAAAACTCTGTGTTCTTTTCTTGAAAACACACTGCCAGTGTTAATATCCAATCTTAGTCAAATGATTACAGTGTGTTTTAATTTTTTTAAATAATTTCTCTGCCCACCTTCACTGGACAAATTCCTATGGAAATTCAGTTTGTGGTTTCTGAAAGAACTGATGAAATCGGTTACGGGTTTTCTTTTCTGTTTTAACTTTGAATTTCATGGTGTATGCTTTTAGTTCATAAAGTTTGAGAGGTTTAAGCCTTTAATGTTTTGATTCCTATTTGTACAGTATTATGTTAGGATTTGGTATTAAAAATATTGTGTAAATATTTCAGTATATAAATGTTTCTCATTTGAGGTTTTTCTTTGAAGGAACTTTGTGTTTCATATACTTTCACTTGCAGATACTGCTGGTGAGATGACCATCTTTTAACTGAGTGATCTAGTCTTTTAATTAGTTTTTCTTTTAGGCATTAGGAAGGCTTTTGTATAGTTTAAAATTTTAGAAGCCTAATTTTACTTTATTTCCTTCAGAAATGTGCCATGAGTTTTGGATTGTATTTGTTTTAAATTATACATTACTTCAGAATATGCTTGAAATATTTGATTGCATTTTCTAAATGTTATGAGTATAATGCTGTATTGTTGGTCAGAAATAATGTCTCAGTTAAATGTTAGTTATTACTGATAGTAAGAATGCTGTACAGAAATGACAAGAGGCATTTGATTCCGTTCTATTGTCAAATGACCATTTCCACTTTTGTTCACCTCAGTGCAGATTCTTTCCCTTTACATGCTTTATATATTGAGAGCTAGTGGCCTCTGCTCATGTTTTCCTAATTACATTACCAGCAGGTAGGAGTGTGCCAATTAGAAAACCTCAGATGTATTGAAATTGTAGTTGACAACTCATACTTTTATTAGCTAGGGGAAAAGGTTGTTTAAATTGATATAACAACGAGATATTTTTTTCTCCCTTATCCTGTACGAAATGTTGCTTTATTTCCTCTGCTACCCTCTTGGTGGTTTCTCTTCTCCCTCTCTTCAAACTGAAATAAGCCAATTCCATTTTCTTGAGCAAGAAAGCTTAGTGCATTACCTAACCCAGGCCAATAATGCTATGTAAAACTAAGCAGAAAATAAGAAAACTGGGGAGGTGGAGGGGTGAGGAGATGCAAGGACAGAAGGAGGATTACTCTTAATTTAAAAGCCATAGGAAGGTCTTCGTTGGACGCAGCTGTGTATTACTAAGAACTGTTGCATCACATAAACCAGCAAGAATCAACCTTTGCTTCTTCAGATAATTTGATTTTTCCAGCAAAGGAGAAAATGATAAAAATTACTGCTGCTTCAACATAGAAACAATTGAGAAAAATAAATGCAATGTCTCTTCACCGCAAAACCCAACCCTTCAGTTCTTTTCATTGCTCCAAAACCCATTTTTCTACTAGTAGCTTTCTGATTGAACTAAATGTTTAGAAAAATTGTGTAGTGTTTTTCCTTTCTTTTTACATTGTCCTCCTGATCCAGTAAAGGACGTTTCGTAACATTTGCATTTGTATGGTACTACCTGAAGTACTGCAGAACAAAATTAGTAATAATTAGGTGTAATGAATGGCACAAATTCATTATAGCGATGTTTCTTAACCTGTAGGGACACAGGCCCTTGGAGACGGATGAATCCTAGGAACTTTTTCACTGAGGAAAATGCATATAATGTACATAACTCCCCAGAGTTTATAGTAGTGCAGTGGTTATGGGCCCCTGGTTAAGATCTCATACTACAGCATAATAGGTCATCAGCCTTGTTCCTGCAAAGCCCATAAAAAAATATTTTGAGGGCATCAAAATAATTTGAGTCTATTTTAAGGAATTATTTCACTTTTTAAAAGGCGAGTTGGATGGGGGCCTAGGCTAGAATATGATACTAAAATATCCTTTTTAAAGGTGGTATTTTGGAGAAAAGGAGAGTGATTAAAGGTGAAAAAATACAGTATTTGGACTTGTTTTGGAGGATAATGTCATTCTCGAAGTT